CACTTGCAACAGATATTTTCAGTATACCAGGTGGGGGTCCTGTACTAGATTCCACATCATATATAATATTTGTACCATGATAGAGGTATGTTCGAGACAGTTGGTTTCTCCCAGGTGGAGGCCGAGGGCCTTAATATCCCATCTTGGGACCCGGTGGAGGCCAAGGGCCTTAATATCCCATCGGGGTGTGCACACGAGCGGCCAATGGCCGAGGGTCTTTTGACCATAGTAAAGCAAGAAGAGAAAGTTTACAGATTAAGCTCTTATTATTTATGTTCATGATACGATATTATAAATGTTGTTTTATTCAGTACTGGTCTTTGCAGAGCATAGTGGTTTGCTCACGCCCCCATTGTGTTTTTTCAGGAGACGGAGTCGAGCGTGCCGGATGAGCACAGACGTGGCAAAGCGTATCATGAGAATCTTAGACATTTTTACGCATATTTTATGTCCCATATTTATGATCATGTATTATTCGGATATGTATGCATGTATTTTCTGTATTTCGGATACTTCCGCTAGCAGACTAGACAGTGCGAGACAGTTCAGAAAATAAACCAAGCTCGCAACGGATAGTTTGGTTGTTGGTTGCGTGTTTTATATATGTCTGTGAGCAAGTTAAGTAAGTTTTTATCTGTGACATCCCGCAACCAGTTAGTATTTTCAAAAACCAAGCTCGCACGACCTTTCGAAAATAAAAGCGAAAAGTAAACTCTGATTTTCAAAGCTAGTAAGGCGGGGTGTGGCAGAAGCTGGTATCAGAGCGCACAGTGCGTTTCTATATATTTTCAAATTTAGAAAAGCATGACCATGCCACACTAATCCCGCACCGACTCCGAGGTAAGTCACCTGACTCAGTTTAAGTTTTGCAAGTGCTAAATTCAGTTTAAGTATGGGGCCTAGATAACTATCCTCCTGTAAGACAGATAACTCTAGAGACAAAAATCTAGACAGAACTCTTGAACAACTAAGTCCAAGGACTCTAAACTAATTCAGAACTCCATTTTGAGCCAGAACATATAAAGTGCAAGTATACCGGAACTCTAGCCAAGCTAGGTGTTTTCGGACTTTATTATTTATTTTATTATCTCAAGTCTAGTATGGCTATTTCTTAATTGGCTATACTGATCAATTCAAGTATTTTTGGATCTCCAGAATGCCGCCATGCAGAGATCCTCAAGTCGCAGTCGAGCAGGACCAGGCTGTTGTGGTCAGTCGATTTCGTACCTATGATCCGCCTCGTTTCTCTGGGAGAATGGCCCGCTAGCCGTGGCCGAGTGGATCCGTAAAATGGAGCAGATCTTTCGTATTATGTGTATTTCTGAGGCGCATAAGATGGCTTGCGCCGAACTGCAGATCGAGGGTGCCGCAGGAGATTGGTGGGAGGATTACTGGCGTCTCCGCACCGAGGATGAGCGTGAGGCCACGAGATGGTCGCAGCTTAAGATGCTCATGGAGGATAAGTTCTACCCTCGCCATTTTCGTCAGAGGATGGTACGAGAGTTTTCTGCCCTCAAGCAGGGCCAATGATCGGTGGATGAATACGAGCGTGAATTCGCTCGTATGAGTGTCTTCGCTCCACACCTTGGAGACTCAAAGGAAAAGAAGGCCCACCAGTTCCTCGAGGGATTGAGGAATGACATCCGACTGTTGGTGGCCAGCCATGGTTACCTTGAGTACGCCGAGACTGTTGAGCGAGCTCAGCAGGTTGAGGCGTATATCCAGCGGGATGCCATTGACCAGCCGCCAGCCAGACAGCCAGTACCACCCCAGCCAGCTCAGAAGAAAAACAAGAGAAAGTGGGACGATCGTGAGGATAAGAGGAATCGTGGACAGAAGGGCCCAGCTCAGGTGGGCCAGCCAGCCTGACAGGATCTGCCGGCCTGCGCTACTTGCGGACGTCAACACTGCGGGGAGTGCCTAGCTGGGCAGAACATATGATACCATTGCCGCCGCCCAGGACATCTGAGCAGAGACTGCCCAGACCGCCCTCAGCCACAGCAGGGCCAGAGACAGCCAGCCCAGAGACAGCCCGCACAGAGGCAGCCAGCACCGAGACAGCCAGCCCAGAGACCCCCAGGACAGCAGCAGCAGCGTGGAGCACCTGCCCATATTTACGTGCTTGACCAGGACCAGGCCGCAGGGCAGCCAGGTACCATGTCTGGCATGTTATCTTTGTTCCATACTCCAGTCTTCGCTTTATTCGATACCAGGGCGACCCATTCATTCGTCTCGGCCAAGTGCTTGTCTGCCTTAGGGGCCCAGGGAGTGAGTAATGTTGACCCTTTCGAGATCAGTCTCGCATCGGGAAGGAAGATAGTTACGAGTTCCCTGGCCAAAAACCATAGCATCGATATCGGAGGCCGAACTCTTGTCGTAGACGCGTTTGTGATTGATATGAATGACTTCGATTTAATTCTTGGCATGGATTAATTGGCGAGATACCAAGCAGATATCCGTTGTCGTGACCGGGAGGTGACACTACATTTATCTGAGGAGGACCGCATCACATTCTTCGGGACAAAGTCTCGAACCCTACCGTGCGTTATTTCCATGGCGAAAGCAACGAAGTACATGCTGAGAGAGGAATGTCAGGGATTTCTTGTCAACATTGTTGGGGAATCTTCGAAGAAGCTGTTTTCCGGAGATATACCCATTGTTCGTGAGTTTGTGGATGTTTTTCCCGATCAGCTTCTGGGAAGACCACCTAACCACCAGGTGGAGTTCACAATCGACTTAGTCCCCGGAGCGGGACCTGTGTCGAAAGCGCCGTATCGCATGGCGCCGAAAGAGCTTCAGGAGTTAAAGGCTCAGATTCAGGAGCTGTTGAGTCTCGGTTTCATCTGACCGAGCGTTTCACCTTGGGGAGCGCCTGTCCTCTTTGTTAAGAAGAAGGATGGGTCTATGCGTATGTGCATCGACTACCGGGATCTAAACCGGTTGACGGTGAAGAACAGGTATCCGCTTCCCAGAATTGAGGATTTATTCGATTAGCTGAGGGGAGCCAGCGTATTTTCCAAAATTGATCTCCACTCTGGTTACCATGAGCTAAAAATCAGAGAGGCCACGTGGCCAAGAACGCTTTCCGAACCAGATACGGTCATTATGAGTTTGTTGTGATGCCGTTTGGTTTAAGCAATGCGCCAACGGTATTCATGGATCTCATGAACCGTGTCTTCCATCCATTTCTGGACTAGTTTTTCATCGTCTTCATTGATGACATTT